GAAGAAAATATATACAAGAAATATCAAATAGAGAAGGGGACCCTTATTTGCGTCAGATACCACCAACATATTATTGCAGAATAAATAAAGATTATCCGTTTTTGCTTGGGGAAGAGTCAATTGAACCTATAACTGATTTGATTGAAGAGGAGAGACTTATATTTAGATCCGATAGACAAAAAAAAACTGGTATTTTAGATGAGATAAGAAAACGAAAGTTCAAAGTGGATCAAAAATATTATCATCCATGTAATTAATCTTTCTTATCCTTGATCTTTTTCTTTAAAGATTACATTTATTTATTTATTTATTTATTTATTTATTTATTTATTTATTTATTTATTTATTCGTTAGATGGACATAAGTATCGATCAGACCTGTCTTCTACTGATATCGAATTTCTTGATATGAGTGAAGAAGGGAGTACGGATGAAGATGAAGCAGATTATTTAAAGCGAATAAAAGAGAAAAAGAAGTTGTTGGAGAATCAGATCTTACAAAACTTAAAAGATATAGAAACTGGTAAGCGTGAGATCTCTAAAAAAATAGCAACCAGGCGTCCAGAAGCGTCACCATCATCACCATCATCATCAAATATTAAGAGTGCTGCTGTAGAAAATGAAAAAAGAAAAGGAAAAAGAAAGAAGGTGTCAAGTAGTGAGTGTATGTATAAATTTATGGATATTAAATTTTTTTTAAACAATAATTGAAAATAATTGTCGTAATAATAGCACTAATAATTAATAATTAATATTTGGTTTTATTAGATGAAGAAGAGCCAGATGATATTGGATCGGATGATTTTCTTGAAGAGACGTTTGTGGTAGACGATGATAACGATTTTTTTGTTGATGAAGATGATGATTTTGTTGTTAGGGATCAGCCACGCAAAAAAGCACCAACAAGAAGAGTTAAAAGGAAAATCAGCATTGACAATGAATGTAAATATAATTCATTATATTATCATTATCATTATTACGTGTATATATGTACGTATATATTGATATGTATTTTACATAATTTTTTAGATAATGACAGTGATTATTCAGATGAATATGATGACGATGAATTTGTTATCAAGGAAACACGTAAACCATCAACAAGAAGAAAAAGCAAACGAAAAATTAATGCTATTAGCAGTGATGATGAATGTAAATACTAATCAATCATTACATATCAATCATTACAACTATATGTATATATATACTAATATATATTATATATATTAATATTAATTTAGTTGATGAATATTATGATAATCTTGACATTGATTATGATGACTATGATATTGACGTTGAGGATGATGAATCATCCTATGATGATAGAAGAAAAAGAAAAAAAGTAAAGAGAAGTGCAAAGAAGAAAAAATCCAATAATAATAAAAAATCCAAGTCAAAACTAAAATCCAAGTCAAAAAGATACCGATAATTATTCTTTGTTGCTGATATTTATGATGATGCTATTTTTATGATGATGAAATTTTAAATGATGATGTTTTAAGATTACGGTGGATAATAATTAAATATACATTTTTACTAGTATTCATAGAAAATTAATTCATAATATTATTTTTTTTTTGTAAATAACATATTTTTTTGCTAAAATTTTTTATAATATAATAATAATTGAATAATATAAATTTATGTCTAATTCCTAATTGGAATTTTAGTTTTCAAGTTTTTGTCAAAATTCAAATAGAATAAAAAAAATGACTGAAGAGAGCAAGCGGAGTAACTAATTATTGGAAGAAAGTATATTGCAATATTAATGTTTAATTTGTAGTACAAGCCATCGATTAATTTTCTGAAAAATAATGTACGATAATTTGTCAGGAAAAATTGTATTAATGTGAGAAGAAATAATAAATCAATTATATCATTATTGTTATTGTTATCATTATCATTATCAATAATAACAATATTAATTATAGTACAGGTGCATCATCAGGAATTGGAGCAGCAACAGCATTAGAATTTGCAAAATATAATTCGAAGATTATATCTTTTTTTTATTAATTACTATTTTTATTGCTATTAATCACTAATTATCAATTCTTAAATTACTACAATTAACTATATTACATTCTGTTGGCAAGACGTGAGGACCGATTGAATGAAATAAAATCTTTGATATTAGCAAATCATCCATCAGTCAAAACACACACTTGTATAGTTGATATCCAAAACAAAGATGAAATAGATGAAAAGATAGCAAATCTTCCTGAAGAATTTAAAGATATTGATATTTTAGTCAATAATGTCAGTCATTAATAATGAATTTACGATTTTGTGTAGTGAGTGATGGCAGTGAATATGAGAAAATTATATTTATTATTAATTAATCTATGTAATTAATATATAGGCCGGTTTAGCAATTGGATTTGATCCAATAGAAAAAAATTCTCAAAAAGATATAGAAACGGTTATTGATACAAATATCAATGGACTTCTTTACATGACTCAAGCTGTACTTCCAATAATGAAAAGGCGCAATTCCGGTGATATCATCAATATTGGAAGTATCTCTGGTAATTGATTAATTTTAATATCAATCTATTTATAATAACCTATAACATATCTTTATGTATGTATGTATAATTTAAAATAGGAACAAATAGTCATGGATATGGTAATACCGTATATGCAGCTACAAAATATGCAACAGAAGGAATCACAGAGTAAGCATCTCTTTATATGTTATTTATACACTATTTATTTTAAAAAATGCGGTAATATTTATCAAAAAATGTTAGTTCTATTCGTAAAGAAACCTTGAGTAGTAAAATTCGTGTGACTTTAATCAGACCAGGTAATCATTATAATTATTCTCAATGTCATCATTTATACTATTCTAGGAATAAAAAAACAAATTCTCTTTTGTTAAATAAATAAATAAGATAATTAATTAATAATTCTTTTATTAGGAGCTGTTAAGACAGAATTTTCATTAGTTAGAACTCGAGGCAACAATGAATTTTCAAAAACTTATTATGATGGATTTGATCCATTATCATCAAAAGATATTGGTAAGATATAATTAATCATTCACTAATGATCATATATCATATCCTAATCTCGTTTTTTATTATTTAATATAGCTGAATGTATATTTTATACTGCTACAAGACCAAAAATACACTGGTAATGCTCGTTTTAATTTCACTTCTTGAGTTATGACAAAATTAATAATATCTTTTCCAGCCCTTGCATTTTGAAGAAACTCTGCCATTTCTTTTCCATTTTCTGTGTTATATGGTTTACTTCCTTCTATTATGCATATCTCATATGGCTTTTCATTAGATGTATAGACAATTCCATCAGACCAGTCTGCATTACCCTTTTGATTTGTGACAGATTTTCTATACGCTGATGCTTCTATGGCTTTGTTGCCACTGCAAGAGTGTAAGAACAATCACTATAATTAGTTACAACATCATAGAGTAACAAAGAAAGAATACTTACGAGACATAACAAATATTTGAAAACCGTGCAAGTGCCTTTTTTAGAATCAGATGGATATAATTATTCATGTATTCATCTTCTTCCATTTCTTGATTTTTTAATGGGTTCTCGGCATTCATTGCATATGAATCAAAGCTATAAATGTTTTAAAATCATATGTCACAAAAACATCATGAAAACAAAGAATGTACTTACAATATTGGAAGCATTTCAAACATAAACCTTTTTAATTGTTTAAAAATTTCATCTGCTTCAGGATTTGTTAAGGTTTCAATTTTGTCTTGCCATTGCTGGTCATTTAATTTCTGTAAACAAAACAGAAAGCAGTAGTTGTTGTGAGTAACAAGCATTAAAACTCTAATAAAAAAGACAATAATACCTCAGAAAAGAACTCTACAAGAAACTCAAAAGCTTCCTCTGGGAAAAGTTGGTCAATAAGATCAACTTCATCAGTAAACTTCAGAACAAATTCTGATGATGGTCTCAGATCCATGATGTCATCTGCTGTCAGTATGTTGTTAGCATGATCACAATACATTTGAAAATTTCTTTGTAAATTAAGCATTTCTTCTGAGCAATTTTTAGATTCATCAAGAAGATTTTTTGCTTCAATGTGAGATCTCTATATATAGATAGTGCAAGAAATTCATTCATGTAATCTATCACATCAATTTAGGCTGATATTTCCTTACCTTATTTGCTGCATCTGAAGTCGAGGTCACATCTAAATCATCATGTCCATGCTTTATGGTATCTATTCAAATTCCAACAGACTTCATTAGGCAAAAAAATTGGTTACTTATTAGCTGAAGGAAAATCTTACATACATCCTGAATCCTTTTCAAGTCTTGAATTGGGTGATGTGGGTGTTTTGTGGATAACTACATTATCACTATCTTCTTTCATGTTATCATCGTTAATGTTCTCCTTGTCTTTGTTTAAACCACTTCTCAAAAACTGAATACATAAATATTTAGAATGTACTGTTTCAGACACATTTAGGGATATGTTTTGCATGATGTGTT